CAGCCAAATTTAAAGAAATCACACTATCACGCTTGAATTCCATCACGAATAACTTTTTTCTGGAAAATTCTTACCAAAATGCTTTGTACGCTTGTAATCAATATAATAAGCTGTCACTGGAATAATTATAACAGCTGTCGGGACGAGTGGCTTAGAAATGACAGCAGTCTGAAGTTGGTTGCAGTTTTTTCATTCCACCCTGTACATCACAATTTATAAGAGTGTTAATTTATCAAAATTTTGACACTTTGTTTTGGAGGTTCCTGATGTAGTGGACCAATTGTCCATTTTCTCAAATCCAAATATTGGGATATGCAAAGTTGGAGCAAAATCGGATTATCATTTCTCTTTCTGTGCAGTATATATTTTTGAGTTGACCGATATTGCCTCTCTCCGAACTCGATCTAAGTTTGATAATGATATTACGATGTAACAAGTTTAGACCAAATCGGATACTCCCATCGAGAGTTATCGTGCGCACCAGACAGTAGACAGACGGACATCCCTAGATCGACTCCAAATGTTCGGTAACGGATTCGGTCCAAAGAGACCTGGGGTCTAAAACCCTTATTTCCATGAGGCACGTATCAAATGATATATATCCTCTGTAGCCATATGGCGGGGTATAACAATAATTCCAAACAAATAAGCAAAGACTTAAGTCGGTCCCTGCGAATAGTAACCCCCATGCATAGGTGATTCCGCTCGGAAGTGCTTACAGTTTCAACAAATTCGCGGTTAAATGGAAATTTTGACATTTATCAAATAAAAGTTATTGTCCAAGTCGCCCTCTCAATTTTATTCGATTACTTTCTAGAACCTAAGGTTTCAGCCCTATCCCAAAGCTCTAACCCATGCAAAATTCTGCGATGGTTGGTTCATAACTGTGACCTTATTTAGAGCGATTTCAAACCTAAGCCATTATGCAAAAAAAAAAAATCTACGAACGTCGTATAATCGATAATCATTAACACTGGCCGAAAAGCTGCGATATTGTCTTCAATTCGTACTTTGCATAAGCGTGTTGGTGGTTTAATGTCGAATCATGCAAATTTCGTGTGAAATATAGTCACAATAGCGCGAATAGCCGCTTCAGCAGGTTGATTAAAGTGCTAATTGGAAGAAGCGCAAGGATTTTATAAAAAGTCAATCATTTGCATAAGTTGTTCGCTTCTAAGACGATTCGTGGTTAAATGAATTTGCAATGAAACAAGAAATTTGCAATGAAACATGTATACGCTTTTTAATCCAGTATTGCCAAACATATGGTAGCTAAAAAATCACCCTTTATATGCTTAATATCGATCAAACACGTATTTAGGATCTAAGTCTTTAGAGTCTATATCTTTTCTTAACTATTACAATGTGCAAACTTTGCTCCAACTCGGAAATCAGGTCGTCTTAAGTGAAATTCATTTTTAAGAATTATGAACTACAAATACGAATATTTAGACAAATCCGCGGGAAAAGGTGCCAAAAATAATCAAAATATCGGTAGGTATAGTTATATGGGTCAATATGAAAACGTGGATATATACATTGTTCCGCCACCGAAACAGAAATTCTACACAAAGGTGGTAAAGAAATAATTAACAGAGTTAGGAATGCCAACTAGAAAATTAAGAAATAATTATAATAGGATAATTGTTTTTACTATATCCTTTTGTGGAGGTTATATTATCTTTGTCATTTCGTTTGTAACTTTCTCGAAATACTAATGATAGACTCTACAAAGTATATATATTCTGGATAAGCGTAAAATTCTAAGTCGATATAGCCATGTCCGTATGTGCATCTGTTGTAATCCTTCTGTATGTCCTGTTAAAACCTTTCGAAAGAATGGAGATAAGAAAGCTAAAATTTTTCACACGTGTGTAGGCTGTTTATGTTCGTAAATAGCTCATGTCGGTCCACGTTTTCATATCGCCCCCCTAAAACGATATCTCCCGTTATTCAATATTTTCATGATTTTAGCGACATTATTTACCAGAATTGCTTCAAAATATGTATTTAAAGTTTATATAAAAAACTTCTGTGTAGGTCCACGTCTTCGTATAACTTCAACTCCGATTTGGTCCAAACTTGGTACATCGTAAAATTTTTGTCAAACTTAGATCGAGTTCGGAGATAGGCTATATCGGTTCACTCCTTCTGGTACCTCCCCCACAAAAGGTCGAAAATTTCAAAAAAATATATTTTCTGCACAGAAAGAGAAGCGATAATCCGAGTTTGCTCCAACCTAACAAATCCCAATATTTGCTTTAGTGCTAGGTCAGGTGCGAAAATGAACAATATCGGTCCACTCTATCAAGTGCCTCCCCCACAAAGGCTCAACATTTTGAATAATTACAACTCTTATAAATTATGATGTAAGAGTCCGACTGTTTTCAAATTTCACACATCCCAATAATTTTATTGACTCAAGGTCTTGTGTTAAGATGGAATATATCGGTCCACTCCTTATGGTACTTCCCCCACAAAAGATCGAACTTTTGAATATCCATGAAGGTCATAAAACGTGGAATAAACAACCGACTCCGTTTAGACTTGGCACATCTGAATATTTCTATCCACACAGGATCTCTCCAGGACCATTCCTTTTGGAATATATCGGTCCACTCCTTATGGTACTTCCCCCACAAAAGATCGAAATTTTGAATATCCATGAAGGTCATAAAACGTGGAATAAACATCCGATTCCGTTTAGACTTGCCACATCTGAATGTTTCTATCCACACAGGATCTGTCATAAAGACAGAAGAGATCGGAACATTCCTTCTGGTAACTCCCCCACAAAGAGTCATAGTTTTGAATAACCAAAAGTTTATAAAATCCGAAATAACGCAAGATCTGTTGTGAAGATGCGATATATAGGTCGTCTCCGTTTGGTAGCTCTCCACAAAGGGTCAAAATTTTGAATTTCCATTAAGACCATAAAGCGCGAAATTACCATCCGAATCCATTCAGATATCTCAATATTTCCATTAACACAAGATCTGTTATAAAAATAGTAGAGATCGGACTGTTCCTTCTGGTACCTCCCCCATAGGACTGAGAAAACAAATGCTCAAAGTAAGCCTTTCAAATTTCACACATACAAACATTTTTGCGAACACAAAATCTATTGTGAAGATGATATATACATATAGGGTGAGATAGAAACCTGCAACAAAATCAAACGCCATAATTTTTTATTTTTTCTTTTAGGTTTTATTAAATGAAAGCAAAAAAAAAAAAAAATTGGGAATTAGCATCAAATTTTAGAATAATTTTAGATATGTTCGAATTGATGACCTTTGGCACGAATTATGGCCTTCAAACGGCCAATAAAGCCGTCACACGCTGCTCGAATGTTGCTCTGCGATTTTGATCCATTCCCGGCGAAGCGCTTGCTTGAGGTCATCGACTCTTTGGTATTTTTTAGTGCCAACTATGCAACGGATTGGTATCCGGATATTTTGGTGGCCATTGTGCGCTGGAAATGAAGCGAGGAACCTCAATTTGTAACCATTCGTGGGTGGCGCGTGCTGAGTCGTGTTGGAATGTCCAAGGTCTGTGGACAAAATGTTTGCGTGCCCAAGGCTTTAATACACCCTCCAGAATATTTTCGCGATTAATACGAGCGGAGAGCGACCATCGGCTGTTATGGCGACCCACACCATCACCATGGCCGGCGCTTGAGGTCTGATGGCCAACCGATGGTGCACATTTTCAGCTGACCTCTTTGGCAAGTAATCACGATCATTCTGTTGTTTACAAACTGCTGGACAACGAATGTTTTCTCATCGGAGAAAACCAAATTCGGCAGTTCACCACTTTCTTTCTATTTTCTTTCTGTTGCGGTGTAAGTTCTAGCCCTTTTTGGAATTTTAATGGCTTTACCCGAGCTCATTTTTCAATATTTTCCGAATGGAATATTGCGATATGTTCAGCTCACGAGCCATTTTTCGGCCACTGTGACGCGGTTTTCGATCAAGCCACTTCTTTACTTTTCGAACCATTTCTGCTGATGTTGCTGTTTACTTCCGTCCACTTCCGGTAACAAGCGATGGTACGAGACACAAAAGATTTATTCACATTTAAATGCTGGAGTGCTCTAACGATAGCTAGTTGTGGTTTTCCAGGCAAATATAAAGAAATCACACTATCACGCTTGAATTCCATCACGATTTTTTTTTTTTTGGAAAATTCGCACCAAAACTTTTGTAAACAATATAATGAGCTGTAACTGGAATAATTTTAGCAGCTATCGGACGAGTGGCTTCAAAATGACAGCAGTCTGAAGTTGGTTGTTGTATTTTCATCTCACCCTGTATAAGCTATATCTAAATATTTCTCGCAACTAGAGATTATATATGAATTATTCATTTATCAGCCCACTCTTTCATGTACATCCCTTACAAAGGTTAAAATGTTGATTAACAATTATTCGCATAAGGATGGAAACAAATTTGGTATCCTTCGGTCCAACATATCTGGCTAGCTCATTTCAATATATCTTACATGGAGGTGGGTAAGTAGTCGAATATTTATGCAAATATTTATATCAGACTTTTGTCATGTACTCCTTCGGAACTTCTCCCATAATGTGTCAACAATTTGAATAATAATAATAACGCAAGTTAAAAACACGAAAATTGTCTGAGGGTATTTCGTCTGTCGGCAAAACAGACGAAATAGCATCAAACTTGTTGTTAAAAATTTCGATATCGAAGAGTCCATTTTTATGTTACTTATCTTCCAGTCCAAAAATTGGAGGAAGAAATGGATGTAGAAATATTCAAGTTATAAAGACGAAATATTGCTCACAAAATGCCATATATTAAGGACAACGATAAGCAAATTCACCACTATTTAAACTGGAAGGATCGCCACAGAGCGAATCTCTCCTGCGGGTTTCTTAATATACCAAACAAGGCCTTTCATTCCCATAACATATCTTCCACCCCCATTCTTTGACTCCCATTTTGTGTCACAGTGTTACTTTAATAAAATACATGTTTTATTATTCATCATTTTTTTGTGCAATTTTTATTCATTTACTTTTGTCTCATAACTTTTCAAAATCCGCCAAAAACCTTATTTGCCCTGCAAAAAGCAAGTAAAAATATTTTTAGTTTATATAAAGAGAAAACATCGTCTTTTTGAACACTCACCATGAAGATGGGATAAAAGGGTTTTGCTTCGGGTTTGGGTTCAGGATCGGCTTTAGCTGAGGCAATGGCCAAAAGTAAGGTAGCAGCAATAATTGCAATGTTGTTGAATTTCATTTTGGAAAAGTTTTCACCGTCAAAAAATAATTTGTGAACTGATGAAGGAAAGCAGTTTTCGTTCGGATTTATAGAAATTTTAAATAACGCAGCAATTTTTTGTGCAATTGTTTCATCTAATATTTGTTTGCAATTCAACAAAACAAAATTGCACCTGCCATAATATAATTCACTTGTTTGTAATACTTTCTTGCAGTCTCGGAAAACCCTCTTTAAAAAAATTCCGAAACCTGGTTAAAAACGTTTTTTCATTCATTGTTTTTTGAAATTTTTTTGTTTTTATGTCAGTTAAATTTTTATTTGTTTTATTATTATTATTATTCTCAAAAATGAAACATTTTCTTTCCAAAAGTTCTTTAAAATGTTCTCACGTAATTCATGATTCTTTCGTCCCATGTCCTTGAAAATATTCTTTAAAAATCGTAGCCAAAATCAGGGGCTACCTTAATATGATGTCTGTACCAAAGTGGGGACCTATATTGTAAATTGTTTGTTATTATCATTTCTACATGATTAGAATCCAAAATACCAAATTTTAGTGAAATTTGAAGGAAAATATAGGGTGTTTACCCAATATGGAACTATACAAAAAAAAAAAAAAAAAATAAATAAATAAATAAAAATAAATAAATAAATAAAAATAAATAAATAAATAACCCATTTATCCAAGCAATGATTTCTGAAGTAATCCAAAGCTCTCTATAAATTTTCAAACCTTCCTATTACATGTTGCGAAATTTAATATTGTGTTTCCCTGGTATACGGTCAAGGATATAAGAATGCCTTAAATTTGGCCTGGAACCCCCGAACTCTTTTGGAGTTTTAATCTGAATCGATCATTTTCAAACGAATTTAGCATTTTCCATAAATTCCACATTCATCCTCAATTCTGACTGGTTCTATAAAAAATTTGCTGTGTATTTGGATTGAGTGTACAGATCCACGCCTTCGTATAGGTCCCCTATAACCTCCCAATATTCGATATTTTGAGAATTTAGCGACATTTTTCAACACAATTATCTTTAATTTGGTGTTTGGAGCTCGTAACAGACACATCCTTCTTTGTTAAGGTCCAAGTTTTCGTATAGCAACATATTACTGTAACCCCTCATATTAGGAATATTAAATATTATAACGATATTTTTTAACGATTTTTTTTTTCATTTTGCTAGGATATTAAAAGTTTGGTTTGAGCGAACTTAGCTGTTTTTATATCTTCCACCATAGTATGGATGTTTGTCACACCGTTTGTAAGATCTCGAAATATACATTTTAGACCCCACAAAGTATATATATATTCTTGATCTGCACAAAATTTCGTATGACCCCCATATGACGGCACCTCCCGATATTCGGTATTTTCATGATTTTAGCGACACTATTCACCGGAATTGTTTACAATTTGGAAATTGAAATTCGTAATGGATATTACAGCCTATATAGGTTCACGTCTTGTATAGACTCTTATATAATGGCCACATTCGGTATTTTTAAGATTTTAACAGAATTTTTAACGGATTTTAATTTTAATTTTTGTTTTTTGACAATTGGCAAATTCTTTCCAAATGGTGGAGGGTATTTAAAGTTCGGCCTGACCGAACTTACAGCTTTTTTACTTAGCGTTACTCTCATAATACACTGAATTTTCCCTGTAATTATTTTCTATGTTACACAGAGTTATTGTACCCTCAGACTTAAGACTACATTGCGACTAGCAGTCATAATTGTCATATGATTTGTAAAATATTAATCGGTTCTTATATGATATTTTCAGATTCCATGGATTAACCCCGATTTTTCTACACTAAATTCATGAATAACTCTTCAGGTAAGTTCATTTTAATATTTGTTTTTTTTTTGCCATTTTTAGTTTAGTATATATAGAACCATCAAAGACCAATTTACCCTGGATAAGACTTCATTTTTAAGGTACCACAATCAATGGAGCCAATTTAAAAGAAAAAAGAATATTTTTTATGTCATTTTATTAAAAAATTATAAATTTTTGTCATTCGTAAAACATGGAAATTTAAAGAAATGTTTATCGGCCACCCTACAAAAAAAATATAAATATTCGAATTATTCAATTCAATCAAAGGGGTAAGCTCCTATATAACAATGCACTCACCAAAAGTCCACCAAGAAGATCAGTGACAATATTCAATATAGGTTCGGGCAATGGTTCAGGTTTTGGCTCCGGTTTAGCTTCAACCGAGGCAATGGCCAAAATCATTGAAGCGGCAATAAGGAAGACTTTGTTGAATTTCATTTTGATATAAGGATTTGGATGAATTGATGGATATTGGGAGATCGTTATCCGATTATATAGCAAAATGTGGCACAAGCTTGAAGTTATTTACCGTTCAAAAGTAAACAATGCCTAGAATGCATCTATTGTCAATGAAGAATTCATTCAAATGTTAAAAATTTTCAGACGTCTAAAGTTGAATAAAATGAGTTCTAATATTCAAGGTTATTCAATTGATATTTTAGTTTGCAATTCAAACATACAAATAAGGGACAATAAATAATTTCTAAAAATAATCCAAGCGGTCGTTGCCATTACAAACACCAATGTTTATTCCTTTCATACAGCAATGGTCGGAGAATCGAAATTTTGTACAACAATGGTTATGATCGAAAGAAAGAAAGAAAAGTTTTAAGTATAATTTAAAAAAAAAAACGATTTCTTATGAAATTGTGGGAAGATAATCCTGTTTTGGAAGAATAAGTTATCGACCGATATTCTCCATGTTCGAACTTCATCAAAGTTTAATAGAAACAAGTTGAAAAGTATCAGTCGGTGTTGTCGACAGATGTATACCTTGAGGCACTATCCCTATAATTTAATATATTGTGACTTGCCATATGATTATTCAAACTGTTGATCCTTTGAATAGGGAAAGTGTGAATAGAGAACGTCGAAAAAGTATTTTATGATAGTAATTGTTAATCAAAATGTAAAACTCTTGTGAGGAAGTACGATAAGGTGTGGGACGATAAATTTCACATTCACATCAGATCTCTGGCTGAGAGAAATTTTTGATATACCAAGTTTGAAAAGAATCGTTGACTTGTTTCCCGAGCTATAAGAGGTATATGTATTGAATATCGCCACCCTTTGTGAGAAAGGTACCAGGCTATTAAAAATGTTGACCCGTTTTCGGGGAGGTACCAGAAATAGTGGTCCGATATATCTGTTCTTCATACCAAACATTGTGTTAGTGGAAATATTAAGATGTTCGAAATTTGAAGACCATCGTACTCATATTTCACATTTGTTTCAAATTTTAGCCCTTTGTGGGGGAGGTACCAGAAGGAGTAAGCCGAAACATCGCAACTTCGCACCAGATCTTGCTTTAGGGAAAATATTTAGATTTGTGAAATTTGAAGAGAATTGGATGGTTATTTCGTGTTTCATAAGAAATATAATTGTTCAAAATGTTCACCCATTGTGGGGGAGGCACCAGAAGGAGTGGTCCGACCTATCCCATCTTCATACCCGACCTAGAGTTGTTCGAAATATTGAGATATGCGAAATTTTAAAACAATTATTAAAATTTTATGATTATTATTAAAAAAATTATTCTAAATTTTGGCGCTTTGTGAGAGAGGTTCTAGAAGGAATCGGTCTATATTGTCCATTTTCGCACCTAACCTAGCAAAGATAAAAATATTAGGATACTCACTTCGAGAGTTATTGTGCGCACTAGGCAGGCAGACAGACGGACATCGCCAGATCGACTCCAAATGTTCTGAAACGTATTTGGTCCAAAAACACCTAGGGTCTGAAACCGTTATGTCGATGAGGCACGTTTGGCCGCATCAAATGATATATGCCCCCTCTAGCCATATGACTGAAGGTATAATAATTTCCAAAGAGCCTCCCTTCGGAAGTTTCGAAAATTTCTGATACAGTATTACAGAATAGATATAATCTTCAATGCCTGGACATAATCCCCATTGCAATTATGTGGTTATGTTCGCCTTAAAAATGTGGATAGTATGACCGTTTGCTGTGAGGGCTAAGGAAAAAGGCTTAAGTTGATTTTAGGGCTATGCTCGGATTGACCTGGCATTTTTTAAAAAAAGTTACAAAGTTTAGAAAAATTATGGATCGAAAGCCGGTGTTGGACGTAACCCAGAGGAGAAAATCTCAAGTCCTGGCCGTAGTCCGGCTATTTATAAAAGTTATAAAATTTAGAAAATCTATGGATCGGATAGCCAGGGTGTGTCCAAACCCCAGATGAGGAAATCTCAAGTGTAGACCGAAGGCCTGCTACTTAAAAAAGCCATAAATGTTGGATGCATAATAGTGGGAAAAATCTTAATTTCATGACATTTATCAATAACATCTGCGGGACTACAAGATATATTACCACATTTGGCATAATTTTGGAAAGGTAAGAGTTCAAAAGTTCCGTTACAAAAATATAAATTTTCTTATATTGCTTCGGAAAAGGTTCAATCCAGTTTTGTAGATCGGAATAAAACCCGAACTTTCGGGTCGAATAATCATAATCAGTTAACAAATTTCTACCACATAATGGGGTTTATATCCGCAATAGTTTTGGACGTAATCCCTATCATTATGGGGATTAAGTCCCCTACTTTCTGGGGGTTAATTGTAATGGTGATTATGTCCGTGGGGACTATGACACGGCACCATAATCTTCAAAATATGTTGAAGATTATCATCACATAATATTTACTTATTTCTCGAACAATCTTTTATTACTTTAAAAATTCGACCAGGGAAGAAAATAAAATCTATCTTTTTTTTGCTATCAATGTTGGAAGCCCCATTATGTCCAAATCCATTTTGGAAGATTTCATTTTTTAAATGATGTCATAGAGCAGGGCCCAGATATTACTTGAGGTATTTTAACTGGGGCATTTGTCCTATACTTACGCGCTACGTAGTGTTATTAGGTATTCAAAACAATTTCACATGAAAGTTGTGGTTCATTTTACAGCTAAATATAATCCATTGGACATCCTTAGAGCCGACCCAAAGAACGACTGCAATTGCATCCCTAAAAATTTTGCAAACATCAAAAATGATAGTCTTCTATTCTAGCTCTAAACCAAGCCCTTATGCAAAATTTGATGAGGATCGGACGATAATTGCGACCTGTATATAAAACCCCCCAACGCATAGTGTTGCGGGGAGTAGAATACATTTAGTCTGTCTGTCTGTCCGTCCGTCCGTCCGTCTGTCTGTCTATCTGTCCATCTGTTGAAATCACGATACAGCCCACATTATTTGACGTAGAGCGCCAAAATTTAGCAGAGCAATTGGCATTGTGTCTAGGATGGTTGATATTGAAAATGAGATATATCGGTCCACGTTCTGGTATAGTCCCCATATAACGGTACCTCCCGATATTCGGTATTTTGATGATTTAGGGCACATTTTTTCACGGATTTGTCTGAAAATTGGTATTTGTGGGTCATAACGGGTCCCTGAGCGTGTGGCAAAACATTGCACGTATAGGTCCACGTTGTGGTATAGCCCCCATATAAAGGTACCTCCCGATATTCGGTATTTTAGTTTTTTTTTGGCCACATTTTTTCACGGATTTGTCTAAAAATTGGTATTTGTGGGTCATACTGGTTTCCAGCTCTGGTGGCGAATTATTGCATGTATGGGTCCCTGATTTGGTATGGCCTCCATATAACGGTAACTCCCGATATTCGGTAATTTGATGATTTTTGCCACATTTTCACGGATTTGTCTGAATATTGGTATTTGTTGGTCATAATGGGTTCCAGCTCCGGTGGCGAAACATTTCATGCATGGGTCCACGATTTGATATAGCCCCCATATAACGGTACCTCCTTATATTCGGTATTTTGATGGTTTTTGCCACATTTTTTCACTGATTTGTCTAAAAATTGGTATTTGTGGGTCATAATGGGTCCTAGTTCGTGTGGCGAAATATTGTAATTATAGGTCTACGTTTTGGTATAGCCCCCATATTACGGTACCTCCCGATATTCGGTAATTTGATGATTTTTGCCACATTTCTTCTAATGTTTCTTTTACCCTAAGGTGGAGGGTATTAAAAGTTTGGCCCGGCCGAACTTAATGTTTTTTTACTTGTTTTAAATTTCATTGGTCACCTTTGGCACGAAATATGGCCTAATGAGCTGTCATTGGAATAATTTTAACAGCAGTCGGGCGAGTGGGTTAAAAATGATAGCAGTCTGAAGTTGGTTGCAGTTTTTTCATCTCACCCTGTATATCTAGAACGGCTCTGCTCGGAAGGGAGATGTGAAGATCCATATATAGTTTCTTATGTCGGGGAACAATATTTAGAGGTGTTACACAATTTTGGGCCCAATCAAACTTATCACCCCAAGTCAATGCAAAAATTCGTGAGTATTGGGTCATAATCGCCATCTGTAGCATGATTGCACAAACTTAGCTAAATCGACGCAGATTGGCGAGATAATATGGTCCATATATAACATCGTGGGTCTGAAACCAACATTTCGAGGTGCAACAAACGTTTGTTTTTTTTTAAATGAATGCAGTATTCACTGAAAAGCTGCAACCTAATAGCTGTAACGCATAAAGAGAATAGTGTTTCTGATTCGAACTGGAATTTAGCCGGTGTCTTATATCCATCAATAAATTTTTGGAAACATTGGCTAATTACTTCACTTCTTCTTTGGCCTCTCTGTACTCTCTGTAAAATTTCGTTTTAAACTTAAACTTTGACAATAAGGACTTTCCACGTCCTTTTTTGGTGCCATAAATTGCAAAAATATGAAAATCACATGTCTCGTATAAAGCGAAAGCTGTGCTCAAGTTATTCGAACATTCCATACGCTATATTTAAATAGCTCAAAAGTGTATATATGTGGTAATAGGATTTTCGAGTTCTCATACATAATTTAAGCTATTATCTGAGAACTACTCATTACAAAATAAAAAAAAATCACATCATTTTTTTATTATTTTTATTCAATATCATCCTTTCAATCATTTAAGACACATAATTTTTATTTATTCATTTTTTTGTGGATTTAATGTCTTCATCTGCCGCCCTGCAAAATATATAAAGAATGCGTTTAATATATTTAAAAAAAAGAACTACCGTATATCCCTTGGTCCTGTACTTACTAGAAGTCCTCCAAGCAGATCAGTAACGATGGTTAATATAGGCTCGGGTAATGGTTCTGGTTTTGGCTCCGGTTTTGCTTCAACCGAAACAATGGCCAACAGCATTGAAGCGGCAATAATGAAAACTTTGTTAAATTTCATTGTGATAGAAGGCGTTGGATGAATTGATGACTTTTGAAAATTATTTCATCTTTTTATAGCAAAATGGAGTTGCACATTTCGTGTTTTCAACAGATGAAAAACAAATAATTTGAGGAATGCATTTATTGTTAAAAAGTCAGTCAAATGACAAATATGTAGACTTCATACACAGAATTGTTTTAAATTTGAGAACATTTGTTTAATTTAAGAGTGAAGGTTGTTCAATTGTTGTTTTAATAACATACAAAAAAAAGTGCAACAGTAATTGGTATAAAATAGCTGGAGAATTTGCTACCTTTATTTACTCATTTAGTGTGTTAAGAACAAAGCAACACTGGTAATGTTTGAAGGTCACTTTGAAGATCCCCCAAAAGTCCTTCGTTTTTCCAATCTAACAAAAAAATGTGTGAATTATATTAAAATTTTTCGGAGATATATTTAAATCCCTCATTTGTAAGAAAAGTACCCGGTGGATTGAGGAACCAGAGGAATGATTCTTTGCATCATAGAATATTATTAAATTATACGATTTTTTATATGGACTTACAGGGTGAGATAAAAAAACATGCAACAAAGTCAAACGCCAAAATTTTTTTCATTTTTTTAAAGTTATATATTATTTTTATGAAAGCAAAAAATGTGGGAAATAGCATCAAATTTTAGAATAAGTTTAGATTTGTTCGAATTGGTCACATTTGCACGAGTTATGGCCTTCAAACGATCATAAATCTCATACAATTCACTAGATTATGTTTCTATTAAACAAAAAAAAAAAAAAAAAAAACTAAATATTAAATGTTAAAATTAAAAAAAATGTACAAAGAGGGCTTTAAGTTGGGCCGGGCTGAACTTTTAATGCCCTTCGCCACTATGTTTATCAAAGAAAATTAAAATAATGAAACGAATAGAATATGTTCATTCAGAATATCAGTCCGTTTAAATTAGAATAAAACAAATAAAAAAACATTAAGTTCGGCCGGGCCAAACTTTTAATACCCTCCACCTTAGGGTAAAGGAAACATTAGAAGAAATGTGGCAAAAACCATTAAAATGCTATACCAAATCGTGGACCTACACATGCAATGTTTCGCCAAAGGAGCTAGAACCCATTATGACCTATAAATACCAATTTTCAGACAAATCCGTGAAAAAATGTGCCAAAAATCATAAAATTACCGAATATTGGGAGTTACCGTTATATGAGGGCTATACCAAAACGTGGACCTATAATTACAATGACTCGCCACATGAACTGGGACCCATTATGATCTACAACTACCAATTTTTAGATATATCCGTGAAGAAATGTGTCAAAAATCATCAAAATACCGAATATTGGGAGGTACCGTTATATAGGGACTATACCAAAACGTAGACCTATACATACAATGTTTCGCCACACGAACTAGGACCCATTCTGGCTCACAAATACCATTTTTAAGACAAATCAGTGAAAAAATGTGGTAAAAACCATCAAAATATCGAATATTGGGAGGTACAGTTGTATGGGTGCTATACCAAATGGTGGACCCATACATGCAATGTTTCTCCGCCGGAGCTGGAATCCATTATGATCAACAAATACCACTTTTTAGACAAATCCGTGAAAAAATGTGGCAAAAAATAACCAAAATACCGAATATCGGGAGGTACCTTTATATGGGGGCTATACCAAAACGTTGACCTATACATGCAATGTTTTGCCACACGCACAGGGACTCGTTATGACCTACAAATACCAATTTTCAGACAAATCCGTGAAAAAATGTGGCATAAATCATCAAAATACCCAATATCGGGAGGTACCGTTATATGGGGGCTATACCAGAACGTGGACGGATATATCTCATTTTCAATACCAACAATCCTAGACACAATAAAAATTGCCCTGCTAAATTTTGGTGCTCTACGTCAAATAAAGTGGGCTGTACGTGATTTCAACAGACAGACAGACGGACATCGTTAAATCGACTTCGAATTTTATGCTGATTATGAATATATATACTTTATGGGGTCTGCGACGAATATTTAAGGATGTTACAAACGGAATGACAAATTTAAGTTTCCAAGGTGGAGGGTAAAAAAAGAAAATAGCGAAGCCTATATTATCATGTAATTTAATTGAAAATTTTGTAAAATACCGAGAATTGGGAGGTGCCGTTATATAAGGGGCACTACTAATTGGTGGAGCTGAAGTGAACATTTTTTGCAGGAAGAGGACAGACTTCAGCTGATTTGGTTGGAAATTGTGGCAGAAAGCTTCAAAATATCGAAATTCTGGGGGTATCATTATATGGGGGCTATACCTATACCTGCATGTATTGTAAAAATTTGTGCCAAATTTCAGAGCTCTAGATTAAACAATGTGAACTCTATCGTGATTTCAACAGATAGACAAACCGACAGACATCGCTAAATCGCCTTATAATTTTATTTCGAGGCATTGCAGACGGAATGACAAATTTAATACACCCTCCATTGTATGGTGGAGGGTATAAAAATAATTTTTTTCGGAATAGCCTAGATTGTCATAAACAGAGGGTCCAGTTTCCATATATTTTTTTTATCATTTTGCTTGTAGTAGTCCATATTTTATCCAAAAAATTAAATGTATGGGTAAACGTTTTTTATGGGTTCCATATGACGCTACCCCCGGTTTAAAATTATTTTGTCTGTGGGTGGGATTCGTTCTTAAAAAAACTTCAGGACGAAGGGTCGATATTTTCTCATAGGCCTTATTTAAGCACCAGCGGATTTGACATATATTCTTGACTATGGCCCTATTTTAAATTCCAAATTTGGGTAATTAGTCCCCATATAAAAGTGCCAATAACTTTGTCGCTTTTTAGGGAAAATCCTATGCAAATTGTCCTCAGCTGGGACTAACTCTTTTGAAAACTGCAAAAAACCTCGTTACGAAATAATGGAATTATAAAGTTCATTTTGACACCATTAAATATTTGCAGCACATCACCCATTACCCCATAACCATAAATTTATCCTCCATTAACCAATAAATAAGTTCAGAACTTAACGTTGGGGTTCTGATCTCACGTATGTACCCAAACAGTACATAAATTGTTTTCAAAATCTGTGAGCAAATATGATCCTGTACGCGGAATAAAAAAAATTGGCAGGGGCAAAAATACATATAAAATATAAAAAGTTAAATAAATCTAAGGGAACTGACATTTTAAGAGAAAAGAAATTAAGTTATGGCGCCCAGGAAACTCCTCCATCTTTCCAGCCGATCTATCTTGAACGTCCCACCTCCTTTGTCTGCCGGCTTTAATTCCTAGGCTTAATCCGTTTTATGTGTCGTCTTCTTTCTGTTGCGAAAAATGTGATCATTCTCTGGCAGCGCCATCTTACAGTCCTTAGACAGTTTATCGCCCTAGAGGTCATAATTTCTTGTCTCTTCAGCCTGCCTTTTTCTAGCTGGATGATTTCTACCAGGCATCTTCATGGCAACTTGCGTTTTCTTGAGCACCTTATTGCCCCAGCGACACAGATGGATATCCTTGTTCTTCTTCATCTCGATTGTATTGTTTATATTGATTGATTTAAGGCCTTGAATGCTATTCTTTGTTGTGTCCAACATCTGCTTCACGCTCTTCGTGGAGTCACTATCCATTGTTGGCTGATCCAAAATGTCATCCACCATCCACCATCCACCATATTGAATAGCACCCTCCGATTCTCGTATGTTAATTTCAACAACTGTAGCGCCTCGTCATAAGTGTTGTCCTGCGTCCTTAGATGTTGTATTATAGCACTCGCCTCTCCTTTTACAGCCGCCTTTAGCCTATGCATTTTTTCCACGTTGGTGTAGTACGGTGCATCGTACACTAGGCTCTTGAAAAGATAATGAAACGATTCCCATTCACTTATATCACCACTGAATGTGGGAACTTCTATTTCCCTTTTATTAATGATGCTGTACGGCTGCTCCACCCTTTCTGCTATTTTTGACTGAGTTTTTCTGATCGCTGCTAACATTTTTGATTTCTTCATTAACAGTCGTCTCCATTGTTCCTGAATTTCTGGATCGGTTAGTATCTCCCTTTTTGCGGTCTTCAAAATATTTCCGATAAAATCAAATGCTGTCTCTATATCCTTTTCCGTCTCTAGGCTATCCATCAGTATCATAGTACATTCCACCTCTCGTATGATTCCTCTAGCCTCTAACTCGATCTTGGTCGGTGCCAAGCTCTCCAAGGAATCGTCGTCCCGGGAGTATGACCCCACAGCCATTCCTTTATCATCCTTGTTGTCTGCCGCCATCAATTTATTGTCTGCTCCAGTTTCTTCAGCTTCTGTTGAGTCTTCCGATAGCAATTTTTGGGATCTTAATTCTGCGGTTTTAATTTTGTTAATTGATTTTTCAATTTCCCGCATCACTTTTCGGGTGTAGCCGTATATATCGTTTTCGTAATAGTCACCATATTTAAAAGGGTTCGACATCAATATCTCGTGTTTTTTAGGAAAATTTTCCCATTCTCCTCTAGCAGTTTTTTCCATTACGGACTCTACAAGTGCGCATTGGATCATTCAGCTGCTGCTTAATTTTCACCATACTGTCGACTATGTCTCTTTGGTTTTCAATCTGGGTTTCAGTGTTGCCCATTTTGTTATATGTTTCATTTATTTTGCTGATTCTTTTATTATTATTATTTTATGTTAAGGCTCGATGGACCAGATGTACGCGAAATAATGTACGCACCGTTTGACTTTTTTTTTTGCTACACTGGGTAAACCCCGCTATTCACTTTATTATAAAAACATGTTCACTTATCCGTGAACAATCCCATCTTCGGTTTTCGCTAATTTAAAAATGAAACACACATGTATTTTGTCTTTGTTTAGTTTAGAATTTTTATTTAAAATCGTCCATTTCAATTATACAAAATTTTGGTTATCGCTTTCAATGAATTCATTTATCTGCCTCCCTGAAAAATATAAAAAGCATTTATTGTAAAAAAAATATATATAAAATAGTCCTCTCTTTTAGTACATACCAGAAGACCGCCCAACAGGTCAGTAACAATGGCTAAAATAGGCTCAGGCAATGGCTCTGGTTTGGGCTCGGGTCTAGCTTCAACCGAAGCAATGGCCACAAGCATTGAAGCAGCAATAACGAAAACTTTGTTGAATTTCATTTTATCTCCAAAAGAGTTAAAGGATGATTTAATGATTATTCTGAAATGAGATGGCTTTATATAGCAAATTAAAATTTTTTTCTAATGGAGAAGCGTCAATGACTAGAGTGCATTTTCTTTGTTTAGAAACGGATCAGTCGAATGGTAAACATATAAAGACGTCAGTTATTTGTTTTATATTTTGCAAATGCACTTAGGCTCATGGTTGAAGGTTATTCAATTGTTTTTGGTGTTTATAATGAAGTATTGAAAACAGAGTAAGGGATTAGCTATTTTCCCAAATTACGCAGAAAATATAAGAGATTGTTACTCTTTCTTTGACATATACAAGTGAAAGTTGAAAAGATGGACGGGGACGTTTAGAATGGATGTAAGTTCATTACGATGGAGACAAAGGTTATCTGAAACATGGGTCATTTGCCACTTTTATACCCTGAGTCATATGACAGCAGAGGGTATATCATTTGATACGGCCAAAACTTGCTTCATCGAAATAACGATTTTTGACCCTTGGTCTCCTTGTACAAAATCTGTTTCAGGTCATTTGGAGTCGATCTAGCGATGTCCCTCCGTCTGTCTGGCTGGTGCGCATAATAACTCACAAAGGGAGTATCTAAGTTGATCCAAACTTGGTACATAGTAATATTATTGTTTGACTTAGATCGAGTTCGGAGATAGGCAATATCGGTCCACTCCTTCTGGCACCTCCCCCACAAAAGGTTGAAATTTTCAAAAAAATATTTTACTGCACAGAAAGAGAAAGGATGATCCGATTTTGCTCCAACATGGTAAATCCTAATATTTCCATCAGTGCTATGTCAGGTGCGAAAATGGACAATTTCTTGAAATTACACACATCCTAATATTTTTATTAACCCAAGGTCTGGTGTGAAGATGGTACCTCAGGTACCTCCCCCACAAAGGATCAAAATTTTGAATATTCATGAAGCTCATAAAACCCGAAATTAACATTCGATTCCTTCATCTCAATATTTCCATCAACATAATATCTGTTATGAAGATGGTAGATATCGTACCATTTCTTCTGGTACCTCCCCGCCTAGGGTTCAAGATTTTCAAACACAAAATTTTCAAAGAAAGCGAAAAACGCATCAAACTATCATCAAATTTCACACATACAAACATTTCTGCTAACATAAGATCTGTTGTGAAGATGATATATATCTGGGAACCCCCCCTTCTGATACCTTACCCACAAAGGGTCACAATTTTTCATACTTTTATAACTTGCGAAACAAGTCAGCGCTTCTTTACAACTTGCTATATCTAAAATGTTTGTCTGAAACCAGAGATAAATTTGGAATTTATGATTTCACATAAAAATGTATCTAAACGTTCGATTTTCTTGGAATTTTGCCCAAACCAATATTTTATCTGTATTATATGAAGTATTAAAATCGAATACTTCGGTCAACTAGCTCTGGTTAATCACGCACATGTAAACATTTTCTGAAAATGATCGTATACCTCATATAAAGTGAAGGAAGTGACCAATACAGTCAAGGGTCATCAATTTGAATAATCATTACAGAAGTTATAATATATTTAAATAATCGAACATTGGCTGAGGATATACATTTGTCGGCAAAACTGACAGATACTTTTTAGAAGAAACTTTTTAACCTCTCAAAGGAGGGTATATTTACATTGTCATTCCGTTTGTAACATCCCCAATTATTCATCGTAGGCCCCATGAAGTCTATATATACATAATCAGCATAAAGTTCTAACTCGATTAAACAATGTCCACCTGTCCGTCTGTCTGTTGAAATAACGATACAGCCCATATTTTTTGACGTAGAGAGTGAACATTTAGCAGAACAATTTGTGTTGTGTCTAGGATGGTTGGTATTGCAAATGAGATATATCGGTCAACGTTTTGGTATAGTATTCGGTATTTCGACGATTTTTTCCACATTTTTTCATGGATTTGTCTAAAAATTGGTACCTGCCGATATTCCATATTTTGATAAAAATTGGTATTTTTAGTTCATAGTGGGTTCCAGCCCGGTTGCAGAACATTGAATATTTAGTTCAACGTTTCCCTATAGCGGACATATAACGATTCCCACCGATATTCGGTATTTTGATAATCCCAGTCACATTTACCCACATAATTGTTTCAAATTTGGTATTTTAGAAGATTTGACAGATGGCAATGCTTGAAAAATAAAATTGTTCCCGTTTTGATATGGCCCCATATAACGGCCTCACACACTTTATGGTTTTTTGATAAGTTTAACTGCATTTGCAAAAAGTATTGTATACTAGTATATGAAGTTTAAAGTGAAAAGCGCTTGAATTGAAATCTATATATATAAAAATCAATTATTGTTCGTTGATAATGGAAACAGTTGAGAACGGGTGGACCGATTTGAATAATTTTTTGTACAAACATTCGTCATACCCCGAGTTAGGCTTTTAAAGAAAAAAATATTGACCACGTCTACTTTTACGCCCACTATTTCGATTTATCTAAAATCCTTATATTTGCCAAAATAATGAAGATATCGGTTTGAGAATTATTACACGAGATACTGTTGGCTCTCCATCCAACCCTTAGTATTTATTTAGGGGCTGAGGAACGCGCCTACTTTTAAATCTATCTCTCTATATTTAAAAGAAAATTGTGTTAGTTAGTACGATTATAACATAAAAACCGGCGGTCTGATTTTAACGATTCAGACAAATTCGGAATTGCCTCTTGCAGAAAAGAATAAAATCCAAAAAATCGCTTAAAAATGTGAAATTGGAACATTTTCATTTTGACTTTTAAAATGTACAATAGTAATGTTTTATATTGCATATTTTTTCAATTTGGACTTACTATTTTCGAATTTTCCTTTTTTTTTTTTTTTTTTTTTTTTTGGAATTCTAATATGATGTGTAGGTTTTTTTGGGTAGTATAAAGCGACAACGGATAAAACTGTTATTTATAGATTTTATGTAATTAATGGGGAATACGAATAATATTATTTCAGAAGAGAATAAGGTATGAACATTCGTAAGGACCTTTTAAAATTTGCCGTAAAAAATCAGCGAACTAGTTGAAGATTCTTTTTCTTTTTTCAATTCTTTCTTTTTTCTATATTGAAGTGAACATTTCTCATTGTTTTCAATTCTTAATGAATAATATTAAAAAATGAAGTGAGTGCGCAATATGATGTTAAATGGCGATCTTTCATGTATAAAATTGGCATCTAGATTTCAACTCCAGGACCTTCAGTTGGAAGATGAAAATTACCGAAATAGCGTTATGTGGTTCATTTAAAAAAGTGGACCTGCTTCCTTCATATGACAATAATTCGGCCAATAAGAACTCAAAATGCAAAATACACGGACTACAATCAGTGAAATACCGACTATAAAGAACCCAAAATAGTAGAGCGAATTCCTTCCAGAAATTCTTCCTAAACATTCAAGATACCTTTAATCGCTTGGCAGGTCATGATATGGGTCATAACCCCCGATAACGGAACAATCCGATTTCAAGTATATTCTACATTTTAACCATATTTTTCGTACTGTTTTGGTATCACCATCATATGATTTAAGGTATTCGGGATCTTGGCCTCTTCTTCCATTTTTTTTTGACCCTTATTTGACATTTTTGTTTCTAAGGGGGAAGAAAACCTCTTCTCATAAAATTTTTGTTTTTCGGAAAAGGGTCCATCTTAGTCTTGAGGCAACCTGGTGTAAAAAAACCTTCTTACAGATAATTATCCACATAGGAATTTATTTAAGTATAGTCCCCACATTAGTATACCCCCAAGTCCACTTTCCCAACCAATGTGTGGACAGAAAAGAAAATTTGGAATTCTATTGCATTTGTAACCCCCAAGAGAATATTGGTTGGGAACGTAGATTTGGGATGTACGTCTATATGAAATAAACTCCGAAATGTCAATCTGGGACTCATTCAGTCGGAAATTGTGGCAGAAACATGAAAAAAATACGAAATTAGAAAGTAACGCGGGACCGAAAAATTGTTAAATCGTCATTAAATTATACTATGATGAAAAATGTGAACTTTATGTCCACTGTGGAGATCCACCGCACAATTGAAATGACAAAAAAAAATTAATGCCCATCTAATCGGTAATCGGAGCAAAAGAGTAATTTTTTGGCTATTCTGACAACATTCTGCCTTCCCTTACCACGTAGTAGGGGATTTTAAACGTTGGAAATACAAATTCCATATTATAGATCATTTGAATGGAAATGTTAAGCTTTTTACAATACCAAAAATTAAGCTGAATTTTCACATGGGGCTATTATAGATGTTCTTTATCACATAGGTATTTAACACAAAAATTTATTTCTATTTAGTCATGGAGTCATTACTTATAATCAAGTCATTAATTATTATCAAAATTGGAGTCATTATAATGGAGTCATTACTTAAAATCAAAATTGTGCCGCTTGCATAAGTGAGATCTGTGATTTATTAGGCTTTAAAAAATATGCATTTAAGACTAAAAGAACGGGCCGGCAACGCAAACCGGGCCATATATAAAAATGTTTCCTTTACTTTCAATGGAGGATATTACAAGTTCGGCCCGGTCGAACTTAATGTTTTTTACTTGTTTTAAATATAATTAAATATGTGGAAGTCCCGGAATTACGTACATAGGTGAATACAGGTATTTAAATCATTAAAAAAATTGCAGATATTCGCTTAATGTTTGCATTTGCATAAAAACAATGAACACACAGACATAAAAAGTGCAATTAGAAATATTTTCTTTCTAATTTATTTGACAATTTTTTCCTTTACAATAGTGTTCATTTCTCATTGTCATAAAATAGAAATCCTGCCCCAGTATTGAGTTCCAGGTCATTCGATCATTTCCTTTGGTTTTAATCAAAAGTGAACAACCTTTAATATTGGGATATCCCCCTTCAACGAAAATAATAAACAATAAAACATTTGTATGTTGTACCCATAATATAATCTATTGATATACGTATCAATATTTAATAAATAATTTACTTCGTATAAACAAAAGGTGTCTGTCTGTTTTATTGATTTTTAATCAATTATTAAATATAACGTTTATTTTGCTATATAAAGCGCACCAAAAATTCTTACCAGACATCACCAGTTAAACACCTGCTAAAACACTTATAAAGCCATCATGAAATTCACCAACATTTTCGTTATTGCCGCTGCAATGATTTGCGCCATAAGCTCGGCTGAAGCTAGACCTGAGCCGAAACCAGAACCATTGCCCGAGCCAATTTTAAATGTTGTTACTGGTCTCTTGAGCAGCATTTTGGTAAGTTTCTAAGCTAAATTTATTTCGAAATGAATATTAGATGTCAATGTTATTTTATCATTTCTACAGGGCGGCAAATAATGAATATGGCTTAACTAATAGCGGTTCAGATGATTGTAAACGATACTACCAGATAACAAAACAATAAAAAATCATTTGATTGAATAAAACTTGTTGATATTTTATTAAACTGTATATTGTGGAACACTATTTAATAGTTACAACACCCCAACGCATTTGTAATTTTACCACTTTGATGGACATAGCTCCCATATAACGGTACATCCTGATTTTCAACCAAATTAGACATTTTGTGTTCGTCGGAGGTCCCAAAAAAATCAATGGAGATCCACTTTTCGGAATAGTCAACAAATAAGCATTCATACTGATTTTCGGTACTTTAAAAGATTCTGCCCCAATTATAACCGAATCTCGCCTTCTCAGTTTAACACGACACAATAATATGTCAAATATAGACGCGCAATTTGATTTAACCCCCATATTACCGTACTTATTGATTTACGAGAAAGACGACCCAATTTCTCACCAAATTTGCTGTATTCCGGGCTCTTTGTGAGTACAGGGTTAGATAAAAAATTCAACGAAGTCAAAGGCCATAATTTTTACATTTTTTTTTAAATTTTATTGAATGAAAGAAAAAAATTTCGGAAAAAACATCAAATTTTAGAGTAAGTTTAGATTTCTTCGAAGTGATCACCTTTGGCACGAATTATGGCCTTCAAACGGCCAGTGAAACCGTCACACGCTGCCAGAATGTTGCTCTGCAGTATTTTGGGCCATTCCCGGCGAAGCGCTTGCTTAAGGTGATCGACACTTTGGTATTTTTTAGTGCCAACCTTGCCTTCCAAAATACTCCAGACACAATACTCCAACTGATTTGTAACCGTAGATTTTGGTGGCCATTGTGCGCTGGAAATGAAGCGAGCAACTTAATTTTGTAACCATTCTTGAGTGGCGCGTGCTGAGTGCGATGGTGCGATCCTGTTGGAATGTCCAAGGTCTGTGGCCAAAATATTTGCGTGCCTAAGGCTTTAATACGCCCCCAGAATATTTTCGCGATAATATTCGGCGTTTATTCTAATGCCACGGTCGATTAAAACGAGCGGAGAGCGACCATCGGCTGTTATGGCGGCCCACACCATCACCATGGCTGGCGCTTGAGTTCTGGTGGCCAACCGATCTCTCGACTTCGAGCAATTTTTCGGCCACTGCGATGCGGGTTTCGATCAAATCGCTTCTTCACTTTTCGAACCATTTCTGTTGATGTTGCTGTTTTCTTCCGTCCATTTCCTTGACGTCGGGCTACGCTACCAGTATCACGGTAACGAGCGATGGTACGATACACAAAAGATTTATTCACATTTAAATGCTGGATTGCTCCAACAATAGCCACTTGTGGCTTGAATTCCATTACGAATAACTTTTTTCTGGAAAATTCTCACCAAAATACTTTTTTTACGCTTGTAAACTATATAATGAGCTGTCACCGGAATAATGTTAACAGCTGTCGGACGAGTGGCTTAGTAAAGAAAGCAGTCTGAGGTTGGTTGGAATTTTTATACCCTCCACCTTGGAAAGGAGGGTATATTAACTTTGTCATTCCGTTTGTAACATCCTTAAATATTCGTCGTAGACTTCATAAAGTCGATTTAACGATGTCCGTCTGTCTGTCTGTTGAAATCACGATACAGCCCACATTATTTGACGTAGAGCGCCAAAATTTAGCAGAGCAATTTGTATTGTGTCTAGGATGGTTGGTGTTGAAAATGAGATATATCGGTCCACGTTCTGGTACAGTCCCCATATAACGGTACCTACCGATATTCGGTATTTTGATGATTTATGTCACATTTTTTCACGGATTTGTCTGAAATTGGTGTTTGTAGGTCATAACGGGTCCCTGTGCGTGTGGCAAAACATTGCATGTATGGGTTCACGTTTTGGTATAGCCCCCATATAAAGGTACCTCCCGATATTCGGTATTTTAATTTTTTTGCCACATTTTTTCACGGATTTGTCTATAAATTGGTATTCGTTGGTCATAATGGGTTCCAGCTCCGGTGGCGAAACATTGCATGTATGGGTCCATGATTTGGTATAGCCCCCATATAACGGTAACTCCCGATATTCGGTATTTTGATGGTTTTTGCCACATTTTTTCACTGATTTGTCTAAAAATTGGTATTTGTGGGTCATAATGGGTCCTAGTTCGTGTGGCGAAACATTGTATGTATAGGTCCACGTTTTGATATAGCCCCCATATAACGGTACCTCCCAACATTCGGCATTTTGATGACTTTGGACACATTTTTTTTAAGAATTTCTCTGAAAATTGGTACTTGTAGATCATAATGGGTCCTAGTTCGTGTGGCGAGTCATTGTAATTATAGGTCCACGTTTTGGTATAGCCCCCATATAACGGTACATCCCGGTATTCGGTAATTTGGTGATTTTTGCCACATTTTTTCACGGATTTGTCTGAAAATTGGTATTTGTAGGTCATAATGGGTTCTAGCTCCTTTAGCGAAACATTGTATGTGCAGGTCAACGATTTGGTATAGCCCCAATATAACGGTACCTGCCGATATTCGGCATTTTAATGGTTTTTGCTACATTTCTTCTGATGTTTACTTTACGCTAAGGTGGAGGGTATTAAAAGTTTGGCCCGGCCGAACTTAATGTTTTTTACTTGATTCATCTCACCCTGGAGGTACACAATTTGATTTAACGCCCATATAATGGTAGCTATTGCTTTTCGAGATGAACGACCTTGTTTCTAACCAAAGTAGCTGTATTCCGAGCTCTTTGTGAGTATTTAACTCAAAGATATTTCAAATTTTAAGTAATTTGAGCATAGCCGAATTTCACATGGTGAAGTATATAAACAATTACGCCCGACCCAAAGGACTAGTATAAGCTATAAATGTGGATTTTAAAGATTATTTGTCGTAGGCCATTAGTATCTATGATCGCCATTTTTCAAGGACTAGAAAAGACAGAGATCGTGGATTTTTTTTCAATATAATATTCGAACTCTATCTACTAGTGGTTGTAATTGTTGATTTTTTAAAAAGTATTTTGAAAACGAAGATCAGAGATTTTAATGAAGTACTACGCAACGATATGTTTGAGAATTTTATGTAAGTATTATCTGAAGGGGAATCGAATGATAAAGATACGGCTTTATACCTTCAGACATATTGCTAGAGAGGGTATATATCATTTGATGCGGCCAAAACGTGCCTAATCGAAATAACGGGTTTAGACCCTAGGTTTCTTTAGACCAACTTCGTTTCAGGATATTTGGAGACGATCTAACTCTCGAAGGGAGTAACCGATTTGGCTCAAACTTGGTACATCGTAATACTATTCTCAAACTTAGATCGAGTTCGGTGATGGGCAATATCGGCCCACTCCTTCTGGTACCGCCCCCACAAAATATCGACATTTTCAAAGAAGATATAAGCATCCAGCTCTCTTTAAATTTAACAAATCCAAACATTTTTACTAACGCTGGATCTGTTGTGACAATAATATATATCTGCGAACCCCTTTTGCTACCAAACCAACAAAGAGTCAAAATTTTCAATACTTTTATCTGTCATAACTTGCGAAACAAGTCGTCGATGCTTCACAACTTGCCATATCTAAATAATTCTCTTAACCTGAAATCTGTATTAATATGGAATTTGTCGGAATTTATGATTTCGCATAAAACATTCATATGTTCAATTTCCTTCAAATTTTGCACATATCAATATTTTTATTTGTATTAGATGAAGTATGAAAATGGAATACTTCGATCCGCCATATCTCTTACCTTCCGCATATTTCCACATTTTCCAAAATTTGCACATATCTTATATTAAGTATAGGATGTAGTCGATATATTCCAAATCTGGCACGTTATAATATTTTTAGCAGGGTTAGGTCAGATATGAATTGGCCGATCTTGGCCAATTTCGTCTGGGAAAAACCGACTGATACTTTTTAACTCGTTTTAATTTATTTTTATATTTTTAAGAAAATGTTTCTGGAGGCCTTTCAAAGCTATGTTGTATTGTAATATTTGTGTACATATTTGCAAAGTATATGTATACCCTACACCACAAGGTGGTCAGGGTATTATGTCTTTGTGCATTTGTTTGTAACAGGCAAAAGGAAACGAGATAGACCCATAGTTCCTTTTGATGATCTGCATAGAATCACATTCTGAGTCGATTTATGCATGTCCGTCCGTCCGTCTGTCCACGTATTTTTGTAAACAAAGTACAGGTCGCATTTATTGCCCGATCCATATGAAATTTTGCACAGATCATTTGTTTGGCCCAAGGACGAAACCTATTGAATAGATAATCGGTCAAAATTTAGATATAGCACCAATATAAATCTTCGTCCGAATTGCCTTTTATTGTGCACCAAACGTGTAATATCAGCCCGAATTGTATGGAATTTCGCATATACACCCAAGTTAGGCCTGAAAATAAGTATTCCAAATTTGATTGAAATCGGTTCAGACATAGCTATAGCTCCCATATATATTGTTCATCCGATTTGTTATTTTTGTCCTCCGCAGCCGTAATATGCACTCTGCAACAACAATATTTGGGGAAATATATCAAATACAACTCAGAAATACATTTGCTAAATTTTATCGAGATCGGTTCAGATTTGGCTATAGCTCCCATATATAACTTCGTCCGATTTACCTTTTATTGTGCACCAAACGTCTAATATTTGTCTAAATGGGATGGAATTTGGCACTTACGACCGAATTGAGTCTAGAAGCTAGTATGTCAAATTTGGTGAAGATCGGTTCAGATATAGCTATAGCTTCCATATATATTATTCATCCGATTTGTTATATTTGTTACCCACAACCGTAATACGCACTCCGTAACAACAATATTCAGGCAAATATATCAAATACAGCTCGGAAATATCTTTGCCAAATTTTATCGAGATCGGTTCAGATTTAGATATAGGTCCCATATATATCTTTATCCGATTTCAAATTAACTGTGCACCAAATGGGCAATACAATTCCGAATTTAAAAGATACAAATGCTTCGGCATATTTAGTCCTTTGACCTTTAAATTATAATTATAATCATAGCGTGTATGATTGAATTCTGCCATAAAAAAACTTTTAATTGTTATGCGCAGCTCTACTA